AGGAAAGGAGGGCGAATATACCTCATAACGATGACGTTCCGGCTCGGGTCTAAGTGGCGTACACGGCGAGAGAAGACATGAAAGTATTCGCGTACGTGGAAAACATGGGATGTCCATTCGGTCGTCGGCGGATCAGAAAGTGGGAACTGGAACCATCACGAGACCAGGGATGCTCGCAGCTGTAAGATGTTGTTTGGTAGGTTGGTTCATCGAAACATGGGTTGGCTGTGACGAGTATTTGATGTAGGAAGCGTCGGTAAAATTAGCGTCCTGTGAAAGGAAGAGGATCATAATGACGTAGTGGAGATGTTACGTTTGTTGTAGTCGGCTTCCAGAAACCAATTAGGAAGGCTGGCTCCACGTCGAAGGATGGGAACTACGAGTATGGTAGTTAGCGCGCGGGTGGGCCGCGGACTTGACCTGTACCTCACCGAACCTAGCATGACAACCTTTTCCTATAGTATATCATATAACCCTCCCGTAATCCCAGAGCTCCTATACGCATCTGGCCCTACGAAGGGCAAATGCAGCATGGGTGGGGGTGATGTCGGATCGTGATGAAGAAAGCGGCTATAACAACAGTAGTGATCATCAAAGGTCGCTGTGCACACATGTAGGAGGATATGAGAGTTTGGCAAGGTGTTCCATCGTCGTGCTGCGGTGATGCAAGGCTGGTCGAAGCTACTCGTACCGTGCGCGTGAATGTGATTGCATGGATGACGGGGGAAACCAATGACACCCGCAGCGCTGAGACCGAGATGTTGTCAATTACAGTGCGCATGTCCGATGTGCATCGTCGGAAGTCCCAATATGTGCGTAGTGGTCGGAAACATGCGTAGGGGAGTCGTGTTGAACGCGCAACTACCACGACGTTCCCTCAGGCGGTAGATGATCCGATAGTGCAGGAAGGAGAGGCGCTCCAGCCGGAATCACAGACATAGATGCACTGGCGATTAGAAGGAAGGACGCTGGATCGTGGACGTGATACGAGCATTGGGTAACGAGGTTGGGCTAGTAACGCCGGCGAGGCAAGTCTTGCTCTATGGCAGGTTCATGCCGAAGCCGCCTCGTGGCGGAGGTCGAATCCTCACGATTAGTCAGCCTCATTATTCCCACAGTCAGTCGGCCGGTTCTGCTTGTTGAAGATGATTTTTAGCAATTCTTTCTTTTTGGGTTTGATACCGAGACCGTACTTGAGTACTATGTATGTCACACAAGTCCAACCGCATGATGCTTTCCATTTTTTCTTATGCTATCAGTTTCTTTTTCTGGTGTTTGACTTGCCTGAATCCCGGTATTGAAAGCGAATCGTGTTATCGGGCCATCACCGGTGTCGATGGGGCACGTCTTTAAGGCCGCGTCTGATACCAATTGTCGAGCTATTTCTTTTTTCTGAGCTATGACCCAAGGCGATTCGTTGAGATCGTAAGATCGCGGAGGTGTAACCTGTTCTCGGATCAGAAAGGAAGGAAGGAGGGTTATGAGTTTTGTGTCGAGTTTTGTTCATCTCCACTGAAATTAGACTCCTGGAAGCCTCGCTGACAAACGTCCCTCTGTATGAACACCATGCAGCCGTTTACTACGTACATCCGGTTTGAAAACCGAAACTATAAGTCCCAGGCTATGAACACTCAGAACTCGTCCGATTGGACACCTCCTACAGGCGGCGACCCACAGCGTCATATTGAAGTAATATCGCCCGGTAACTGTGAAATCACCGAAAGGACACAGTGCGCGCGCGATGGAGGAGAGGATATGTGTCACGTCAGGCGCTGGTTCTCCTTGTCAAGTACAGGATATAATCCTCGATACAGATCAACACTCGCCCGCAAACAAAGCCCTGTGCACTAGGCTGCGGAAATCCTGCCTTCCCGCGTTATCGTAAGTGTCTTCTACCCTGGGACGAAGCGACAGCCTAAGATTCATAGAATCCATGTCGCAGGGCACCGGGGTGTAGGAGGTGGCAACGATTGCAAGGGTTAAGTGACAGCGCGTTTCGGATCCGTCGTCTTTGATACCAAGAGAAGCCAGATGTGCTACGGCAGAATTCCTTTGCTCGGAACTCAGCCTTCTCCATCTCAATGGAGGAAAGGACATGGCTCGACTCGCTTTGAAAAGGGTCTGGTGCATGGTAGCCAAGCACCCACGAAATAAGGTGTACTGCACTTTTGTTAACCTCACGACGGGCGAACCTGACAAGCAGCATGGCACCGGACGGTAACTTGTCCTTTCTCCACCTCAACGGAGGAGAGGAAGCGTCCATGATAGTCACACGGTTTCCTGATGGCGCGACTCGGGGCTACATAGTTGAAGAACGTTTTTGGAGGTGGTGTGAGTTGTGATCTACCCGCGAAGAGGGAGAGTGACGAATGGGTAGGCGATTGTGCGGGAGCGTCAGAACAACTAGACCAGCCACGTGCATAGATATCTTCTCTTCCCTCCCCGTATGATCTCACAATTCGTTCATGACGACATCTCGAGAAACACGCGCGTCTTCCGGTCTTCGCGTGTGGGAGAGAAATCATGTTTGTTCGATCGTCGGCAACTTGAAGTTCAGGAAGAGTCGTACATTCCACGTAGATCGCAGTGCATGAAGCAAGGGGCAACGATAAAAGGGATAACCAACGACGTCGGCTGTGTGAAAGAACGAAGAGAATCAGCAAGAGAACCTGAGGCAGTGGAGACGGTACCGTACCATTCACTGTCCCGGCGTAGTCGAGCCCTCTCACGCCTGTTATCGTGGGAGATTTCCTATTTGCTTGCTATTCCACTAAGTTTGTGGTCGGAACTACAGGACCTACTTCTGCGTACACTTCCGAGTCATGCAAGGCTCCACTCACGAAGGAGGAAGGATAGCTCCACAACGAAAAAGAGAAACCGAGTCTCGTTCAACATGCCACTATCGCAGACGCGGACCGTCTGATAATCGACCTGGATCACTTGAGGTCCTTTCTACCCCTCATTCATCAGAAGATACGTCTTGTGTTGTCCATGGCGACTCTCCTCTACGTGGAAGGACCTTGCGCAGTCGTACGAGAGTTGAAAAATGTGATCTACCCCCGTGAAGAGGATCACGTTCTGGGGTGGGGGAGTCATAACATGTTCCGGCTCGGGTCTACATGCACTCTTCTCTCACAGGAAGATGCGTGGGGAAGGTCCATTCAGAAATGTTTGTTCGATTGTCGGTGGATCAGAAAGTAGGAACCATTATAAGCCTAGGGAGAGCCGTATGGTATGTCCGTAGCTGTAAAATGGCATTCCATATAGGACTTGGTAGACTGGGTCGGTTGTGATGAGTACATGGTGTGGCGAAGTGAGAGGACCATGATGCAGCGGAGACGCCGGCATTCTCGTTGCTGTCATGTCTCTGTCTTCCTGTTTCCTTGGACGTGAGAGGTCGTTTCTTGGATGCATATATCGCCAGCGACGTGTATTCTTCTAGGAAGCTGGATGCGAGAAATGTGATTCGGTCGTCGGCAGATCTAGCCTTCCCCATCCCAATGGAGGAAAGAGTATGAATGGTTTCGCGAGTCGCGACGACGGGACTCGCTCTACCACAACGTAAAAGGGTCCAATGTTCGACAACGGCCCGACTTCCTCTCCGCGCAAGATTTTGTAGGCGGATTTATGATCCAGCATCACGTTCTGGGGTGGAACGGGCTTCGGCGGTATGACTGAGAAAGGCTCGGATCCTTGGGGTTGAAAAATAGACCACCCACGTGCGTGGATATCTTCTCCCTACCCTGGAAGAAAGATGATCTCGCAATTCATTTAGAAGAGACAAACGGTTCCGATCATCGTAAGGGTGGGTAGGCCTTTGTATCTTAACAATGCACAATTCCTCTATCGGTTCGATCGGGAGTGAGAGGCAGATGATACAACGGGGAACGGGGGACGGGGATCATGATCAGTTGCTGTGAGAAGCCGGTAAAGCAGGAATAGCACTATGACATAAATTGGGGGGGTGGGGTAGAATTTTGATTATCGACGAGCCAAAATACTGGTGGGCGATAATGATAGACAGAAGTATCCGGGCCGATGTACTTTCTTGTCGTTCCACGATCGATTCCAAGTTGATGTCTGCGCAGAGCTAAGAAAGAAGGATCAGAAAGAGATCATGATACAACAAAGACGTTACCATTCACAGAACTGGTATAATTGGTAGCATGTCCGTTGTCGTAGTCGGCTTTCTATCTCCTTGGATTGTGTCCTGGGTGGTATTGACTGCTTCCGAAACCAAATAAGCTTGGTAGTCGAGCTATGAATGGAGGACTTACACCTTCATCACTACGCGATCGTGCAAGGCTCCACCCGCCAAGGAGATCTCTATGAGAAGGGTAGCCCCACTATGAAGAAAGGAAGCTAGGTCGTGTAGCTATCACGACGAGTTCTTTCTTCCAGGATGACATTTAGCCTCAAGAAGGAGGCCTAGAAGCCCAAGAATGAGAGAGATGAAAACTATTCCGAGAATTTACCGACTATTGACTCCGGCTGCGAATGCGCGCGCCGGGGAAACTGAAGAGTGAACCCCTCGAGGCGACCTAGCTCTCAGGGATACCCAATCTCCTCACACAGGTCGGTTTCTCTAGTGAATGGAATGCTGAAAAAGTACTAGTACTTGAACCACAAAATCAGAGATGATGGTAAAGAACACGCACGTTCGTCCGTTATCCTTCTCGGCGCGAGCTTGTCTCCTTGAGCTTCGTACCTATATCGTTACACCCGTTCATACATGAGAATCCTATGCTCTGTTCCTCTATTCGGGTATCGTCCTCTACCAACGGTCGGTGTTTGGGATTTGATGGGGGTTTCGGGGCCCTTTCTTGAGGTGGAGGCAATCTTACCGAGATGAAATAAGGCAGCACCGATATTGACTTGATAGAGTCATAAACGTCGCTTTCACGACGAGCGACAAAGTGAGAGTAAATTTGAGTCCGAATTTGGCCGTGAGAAGGTCAGGTGAATATCACATGTACTTTTTCTGCGCGGCTTTTTTTTGCAACACAAACAACCTCGCTGGATCTGCTAATTTGAGGAAGAGACATCCAGGGTTAGAGAGAGACCTAGTAGACAAGAACCGGGAGATAGCATCCGACTATAGAGAATGGTTGCGCTAGGACCTGGATTATGCATTGAAGATGATAGATCTGGAAGTATGCATTGTAAACAATAGGCTGTTCCTGCATCGCAATGTAGTAAACATTCGAATATAAATGGCTTAAGAATGAAAGCCTTGCGAAAACAACAACACGAACAAAAATTCAAAAAATTAGTAATCTACGAAGCGCGATATTAAAAGCATGATGAATGTAGGGAGTAAGTAAAGCAAGGAATCGACTTAACAACACCGCGAGCTACAAATGGACACTGTGAGCCGTTGTTCGTACGATATGCGTACGCATATAATTAGGTCGGTCCTAACCATGTTAAACCTGGCGCCATAATTGCGGGCTACTCCACGGCTGGGGACGCAATGAGCGGGCTATCAGTATCGCAGTCGGGAGTACAGACTCACGGGATTTTTGTTGGTGCTGTCATCTGCGGTACTGTGTCAACTATGGCTAGAATTCGGCGAAGGAGATACGTACGGAGGACAAGACATTGGTAGCGAGCGATTACAGGCCGCCCGTTCTGTACGAATTGGTACCAACAATATTTGCCGATCGACCATGGAGCTTGTGGGCACACTGTCTTCCGCAGAATCTTCTGGGACGAGACATTCTTTAGACAGTAGGGAGGTAGTTATCGATGAGTAGTGAGTTGCAAGGGATGAGTTGGCATGACATACCCTGATCCCTGAAAATTCATACTCGGCGCACAGTCCTTGCAAAGGAAGTCCTTCGACGTCCTGCAACGGCTATGTCCCCATGCTAAGCACCAGGTGCATCTCACGGTCGGGAGAAACACCATCGTCATCTGGAAACCAGGATCATTGAAGCATCCATTCAGACTACAAACAGCCAACGTACCGTTTCCACACGCAGCGAAATGGACCCTCCCCAACTTTCTCTCCGCAAATTGGACATTGCTCATGGAGGATAGGCGTTGTATCTGTGATGACTCGACAATCCGCAACCACTGGCGTCAGTGTTACCTCCTCTCGCCGATAACCCTGACATCTATGGGATTGATTGGCACCGCCGACGCGTTTTCTACGTTCCAAATGAAACGAAGTGGGATCGAGATTTGAGAGCATTTTTGAACTGCTGTGAAGTGTCTTTCAAGGTGGTGGTGCATTCATTGAGTGACTGCCATATAATCTCTCGGCGAGGCTGTGAAAGCTTGGCATCATTCACCGAACTCGAAGCACCGGTGGTAGAGGATAGATCATCATCCTTAGAACTAACTTCAAGCGATGATTCAGTAACGGTGTCATCGGAAGGTTTAGACATGCCGCCATCACGGACAAGGTAATCCTCTGCATGTCGAGATAGATTTTCTGAACCACTTACTCAAGCAAAGGGCAAAACTTACTGTATAATAATTGGTTGGCACCGTTGAAAATCTGATTCAGTGCCCATTAGTGCGGACTGCTATTTCAAGGTGGGAGATTGTGCTTGCCTTGAGACACAGATAATTTAACGCGTCAAGCGCCATTTGACTTGGTAGTAAGTCTGATGGTGTCGAATTCGACAACCTATAGTAAGTGTTTATCGACAGAACGGCTTTGTTGGGACCATCCATGAAGATATAAATATTCTAATGAACTTGAATTGAGTAAGAGAACTGGGCGAGTAACAATTAGGGTTACCTCGATATCAGCAGAGTCAAGACGAATATCGGAACAACTTAGGTAGTCCAATGCTGACTAAGAACCATCATTTCGGGAAATAATTCTTGTGTCCAAGATACGTACAGAAATCCCAGAGATCTGTGAAATTGATCAGTTTTCAAGAACGAAAGCAAACGACTGGTACAGAATACCAGAGTTGCTCCTGCTACGAATGTCGAATCAATGCCAGAGAGAATCGCCGTAGCGGTAAATAATTCAGGACTTTGGTGTTCGTCTAAGCAACATGATCAAAAAATAGGCATTCGTCATTTCATACCATGTCACTTAACTGATACCGTATACTATAAAGGGTGTACAAGCATTGCGAGATGACATAGCCTTCAAAGACAGGATATGTGGGTGCCTGATAGATACAGATAAAAACATCATCGATGCTAAAGCCTAAGAAGACCGGCGCGCACATTACGATTTTGTCAAAATTGAACTGTTTTTCTCCAATTCTGCTTTGTATGAGCCTGAGGGACATTACTAGGAGTAAAATGATGTCGTACTTTTGGGGCATCACGACCGAGGAAGATTTCACGACTGCGATTTGACCGTTTATTGAAGTAGAATAGATTCGAAGACCGTTTTTAATGAAGAGTTCCTCCTCGGGAGGTAGATGAGACTTGTCGATGATCTGGAAAGCTTACTTGTATCCATGAGTATGTAGTAGACGACAGTACTAAACGCACCAGATTAGTAGCAATATTATCGTCCTCGACCACCTTTTCATGACCATTTCCTGAGACAACGTTCTGTGCACGTTCAGATGTACTTGACAAGACACGCTCGGCAGCTGTACCACACAAGATCATGGCTTCCATCTGTATTGGAGTCCATAACCGAAACCAAGAACGGCTGGCGAGAGTTCAACCTTGAAGAGGTCCATCGTATCATCCACCCTCTTTTGAAGTTTTTGAAGCTTCTCGGCACTCTGCTTGGCAACAAAAAGGCGACGAAATGTGTGCTTTTGAACTTCCTTTGCAACAAATGTTTCAATCTCAGAAAGGTCCCTGTAACTTCGAGTTGAACAATATAAGCAATAGACACAGACTCAGACTTACGCTTCAAATTTTTGATAAGTTTCGATATCATCGGCCCAGGTGCAATTCCCCCACGCATCCAGCATCTCATGAATATCAGTAAATATCCTAACGCAACGGCGTGCAATCTCCTTCGCCAGGTCTTTGTTCTGTTGGGTCTGAGATATCTGTTGCAAAATACCGTGAAGGATTTCAGCAGCTGCGCCCAAGATTGGCGTTGAAGTGGCAGCAGCGGCGGCGGCCTAACGATGGAGGTTTGCTTCAGCGATTCCGGGATCACGAGGATTTTCTACCTTGGCAAGGTCGACCGCCATGATCGACACATCAAGGCCATTTTCCTTGACCAGTCGAAGCTTCGGTGTAGTCATAGTCGCAAGCAAGACGTGTAACGACGGAGCTGTTGAAGGGAGAGAACAAGGGTACTACACGCAGCATTCACGTGCGGATTTCTCGAGTTGCTGTGTACATCCGATTGGCCGAAACGTAACAGCTTCATAACCACACAAAACAGCTTCCCGAAGCGCACCGCCCAACCGGATCGTAAATTGTCATTTCTGCTTGAATTATCTAGGCATATCTGTGGTGTTCCCGGCATGGATTACGGGTAGAGAGATAATGGTATTTAAAGGCAGGTCGGACCTTCATATTTGGTCACACACGAATAGAGTCTTCTGACTATAAACCATGCTACGTGGAAAATATGAGTGTATATACGGGGAACTCGAAATAACACAAACGGAGAACTTACCTCAAAGTACTCCCTGTTGCGATATGGTAGCAGCAGTTGCGAAAACGAGGCGAGTAAAGGAGAAGGGCACGGAGGGTACGGGGTGGTGTATCCACGAGCTCGCTTTTAACCTGAAGTCCGGTGTATTGGGGAAGGGCAGGGGTTACCTTACCACTAGTTCTGGCCCTTCTTGATTGATCATTGGAGCTCGGGAGTCGAGCAGTTCTGTTATCTATCAACCGGGCGACATGATACAAGCATCGGGCAAGGTTTCGTGAGATACAGAGAATATTTTGAAGAATGGTATGATACATGGTATTCTCAATCTAGCTGTGTGGCAAAGTTCAAGTGACCTTGACCGTGACCACAGAATCAGAACCAAGACAAGAGAATACGCGCCTTCCTCCTCTAGCAGTTTTTTTTTTGCGATTTTCTCCCGCTCGCCTTCCTTGAACTGCGGTATCAGAGAGAGCTTCTACAACAATGTTAAAGGGTCCAATGCTCGGTGACGGCTCGACTTCCTAGCCAAGGGTCTCTACGCAAGAATTCTGAGGCTGCGTAGGTTGTGGTCTACACTCCAGGAAAAGCATCACGTTTGGGGGTGAGGAAGAGAGCGACAAACGGATTTCGTCAGTATGACTGAGAAAGAGAATGCTCAGGCTCGGATCCTTAAGTTTGGGTTGAAAAATAGGCCACCCACGTGCGCGGATATCTTCTCTCCTACCAGCTCTTACCCTGATAAAAGTTCTCGCAATTCGTTTGGAGGAGATGGCTCCGATCACAGTGGGGAAAGGACGAGTCTGCGATTTGGGTAGGCCTTGGTATCCTAACAATGCACAATTCCTCTATCGGTTCGATTGGGAGTAAGATTGAGGCAGATGATATAACGGGAGTTGTGTTTGCCGCTGTGAGAAGCCGGTAAGGTGTCCGAAGGCATTTGCGCAGGAATAGCGCCGTGACATAAATTGGTGGGGGTGGGGTAGAATTTTGATTATCGACGAGCCAAAATACTGGTGGGCGATAATGATAGACAGAAGTATCCGGGCCGATGTACTTTCTTGTCGTTCCACGATCGATTCCAAGTTGATGTCTGCGCAGAGCTAAGAAAGAAGGATCAGAAAGAGATCATGATACAACAAAGACGTTACCATTCACAGAACTGGTATAATTGGTAGCATGTCCGTTGTCGTAATCGGCTTTCTATCTCCTTGGATTGTGTCCTGGGGTGGTATTGACTGCTTCCGAAACCAAATAAGCTTGGTAGTCGAGCTATGAATGGAGGACTTACACCTTCATCACATAACTTTCGTACATGATCGTGCAAGGCTCCACTCACCAAGGAGATGTCTACGAGAAGGGCGGCTCCAGTACGAAGAAAGGAAGCTAGGTCATGTAGCTATCACGACGAGTTCTTTCTTCCAGGATGACATTTAGCCTCAAGAAGGCGCTCTTTGAGGCCTAGAAGACCAAGAATGAGAGAGATGAAGACCATTCCGAGAATTTACCGACCATTGACTCCGACTGCGAATGTGCGCGCCGGGAAAATTGAAGAGGGAACCACCTCGAGGCGACCTGGCTCTCAGGGTCCAGATAACGACGTGACCAATCTTTTCACACAGGTAGGTTTCTCTAGTGAATGTCCTTTCCCGTGAACGCTGAAAAAGTACTAGTACTTGGAACACAGAATCAGAGATGATGGTAAAGAACACGCACGTTCGTCCAGTATCCTCCTCGGCGCGAGCTTGTCTCCTTGAGCTTTGTACCCTTACCATTACACTTCGCATTACACCATAAATCTTCAGTCACACATGAGAATCCTACGCTCTGTTCCTCTGTTCGGATATCGTCCTCTACCAACAGTCGGTGTTTGGGATTCGATGGGGGATTCGGGGCCTTTCTTGAGGTGAAGGCAGTCCTACCGTGCAATATCCTGAGAAATGAGGCGGCAGCAATATTGACTTGATAGAGTCGTAAACGTCACTTTCACCAGAAGCAAGAAAGTGAGACAGACTTTTGGTTCTGAATTTGGCAGTTGCATAGGTGGCTGTGAAACGGTCAGGTGTACTTCGGACCGGTGCCGCGCAGCTAAATATTGTCGGTTGACCACCATGATTCCTGGCTGGGACTCCCCCTTCCAGCAGAGGAAGCCTGAGGGACTGGTGGTATTCTTCCAATTTTTTTGTAACCAGCGTTCTCAGGTAAGCCGGCTTTGTTATAGATATTTACCCACGGCCACTGATTCACGGTACTCGTAGCTGTGGATAACAGGGCAGGGCACGACGTAGATTAGTTTACACTTATTTACTGCCAATGCCAGTGAGTTACATCAGCTGGTCTTCTAGTCTTCCTAGCGGGCAGGCGATTCCTAACAGTTCCCAGCAGCCTAACACGAGTAACGCAAACTGTCACGCTTCTCGTCGTTTGTCCTGCCCTCCCATCGATCGACTGCTATGATACAGAAGAAAACCGAAGGAAAGAAACGATATACGATCCCGAAGGCACCAAAGTCAGAGGTATCTTACATGTCTTCTTGGGTTCTTCATTCGCTGACCGGATTATTAGCCTTCCTGGAGCAAAATCAGACGAGGAAAAGCCAGATCGACTGCGATCAACAGAATCAACGAGTGTTTACCCAACGAACTTCTAGCCTACATCTTTGCCACTGCGATTAACAGCCTGTTACCAATAGAGCACGGCCCCTTCCTTGCCGTAGTGTGCAGCATCTGTCGCCGTTGGCGGGATGCTGCTATCGGGGCATCTGAACTTTGGACCACCATCTATATACATGATCTAAGCCATATACCACCCGCCGAACTCTTCCTTGAACGATCAAAGACCCGACTTCTGGATGTTGACGTCCAAGTCATCTTTGGTCAAGGTGGGTTTCGGATGAGTGGGCCGATCGCTTCCACTGGGTTTCGAGTTGCGGAGTTGACGTCGATCCATCTTGTGCGTACGAGGACACTTTCGTTGAGTGTCAGCGACTTCCAGGATGCCGAATTATTTTCTTCATTGTACCGGCCGATGTCAACTCCGCATCTCGTTAACCTTTCCATTGATGTCAAAGGATCGCCGCGAGGCGCTCCCCTCTTACTTGATTCCATTTACTCATTCCGTTCTAATGGGGGTAAAGGCTTACCCTCAAACACAGCATCAATCTCCCGCCTTGTCAAGCTCGAGCTCACATCTCTTCGACACGAAGGTATGCGCATTATATTCATGTGCTTCCCGACTCTCGAAACACTCATCTTGCCGAAATTTGGTCAAAATCGGAGTGGAAGCCAGAGGGAGAATCAGCCCATCGTATTAACCTCCAGCTCGCTGCGGTCGCTCGCAGTTGAGCTCGATGACACTCATTACAAGTTTTCGCATGCACCGTGGAATTGTTCATGTGACCTAGGCTCTCTTCGCTTCCGAACCTCGAATATCTCGAGGTTCTAGGCGACAACTCTTCCTTCAATCCTAATCTCGGCGGCCACTTCACAGACCTACTGAAATTGCAAACACTACGTTTGCAGCGTTGCTCCGTATCACCTACTGATGCCGAGTTCTTCCGCTCTTTGATATCGTTAAATCGTTTGGAACTGGTGGACAACTTGAAAGATGTGGAAGGGTTTGCAATGCACTGCAAAACAGCGCCCTTACCTTTTCCTCATCTGTCGTCTATCTTACTCAGTGACAAGTCATACCAAAGTCGAGCCAGTGGCAGGCAG